GCCTCATATATTGCTCGAGTTAATCACTATTGGAGGTTTTATCTAGGTGGTGACGCTTTGGTACAGAGCACCAGAAATATTACTTGGTTCCCGACATTATTCCACTCCTGTGGATGTTTGGTCGGTGGGTTGTATATTTGCTGAGATGGTTAACCAGCGGCCACTATTCCCTGGGGACTCTGAGATTGATGAATTGTTTAAGATATTTAGGTAAGTAGCTTTATCGTGCATCTGCCCTCCACTCTTTACGATGATCTAGTCCAATTAACATGGCAAATTAGATCATTAACAATCCTACGAATGCCATATTCAATTTGATTATACACTAGCCTTCTAGTTGGTTGTCGTAGTATTACATATGGGAGTCCACCGAAATCTCTTCACGGTAGCCATCTATGTTGGATTTGAATATCCTATAAATTTGTTTGGCTAATGTAGAAGGGTCAAGAGCCATCCAATGAGAATGGACAGCCAGCCTAGACACTTATGGATATTAAAGAAAAATGAAATCACATTTTATCTAGAGTGGGATTTTCTTGGTGGGTGGATTTTTCCTTTCATTTTTTTTTCATTTTTCCTTAGGGGAGAGGGATTTAGGAATTTGAAAAACAAAGGCAACAAAAGTCAGTGTTCATCTGTTTACTGCGGCTTTGTGTTACATATATCTCACTTTATGCGCAATGAGGAAGAGTGTATAGTAAGTTACTATGACCTTAAATTGCGAGTGTTCGGCCCAAATAATGGAGTGATAAGGTGAGGTTTATTCATAATAGTAATGAGTAGGACAGCACCTAAAACATTATTCCCCTTCTAAGTCTACGTCTGTCTGTACTAACATATTCATGCTTTCATCAAACCTCTTTGTGTGGGGATGCAAAGAGTTCTGGGAACTCCAAATGAAGATTCATGGCCTGGCGTTACATCTTTGCCTGATTTCAAGTCTGCTTTCCCCAAGTGGCCTTCCAAGGTGATGGTTCAATCTCACTAAATTTTCATCCTCTGGTTTGCTATAATGTGTGGTTCAAATCTTTACTTCACACATTCTCTACTTGCACAGGACCTGGCTTCTGTAGTTCCAAATCTCGAATCTGCTGGCATTGATCTTCTCTCTGTAAGTGAATTATTTTCAATTGGGGTGTCTTTGTTTTCATCATTTATGATATCACATGATCTAGATCAATAAGTGTTGGTAAATAAATGGATGCTTTGCTTTCTCCCGGCCCTCCCACTTCAATATGTTATGTTTGACCAACTATTTCATCTTCCTCATTTTTATTTCCTATTTTTGGTTGTTCCCTCTTTTTTCTGGATTTTTAGGAGGGGGTGAAAGCGAGAGGCAATCTTTGTTCACTATAAATCTGTAACGTGTTGACAGTAGTGTCTGGCTCCCCACTAATTTCCTCTTTCAAAATCAATCCCTTACGAAAAATTAAAAATAATTAATATCTTTAAGTGTATATTGTTGAGGATTGTTGGGAGAGGAGTCCCACATCGGCTAATTAAGGGATTGATCATGGGTTTATAAGTAACGAATACAGCTCCATTGGTATGAGGCCTTTTGGAGAAACTAAAAGCAAAGACATGAGAGCTTATGCTCAAAGTGATATTATAATATCAAATTATTGTGAGGATTCATGATTCTTAACATATATATATATATATATAATATATATATATGCTAAGGGTTGATTTCTTGATTCATTTGAGATAATTAAAATTTCTTTTATCGAATTTTCCAATTACTTGAAAATTATTACCTCCAATTTTAGTATTTTGAGTACTGTTTGTGTCAGTCTTAATATTGATCTAGGCTCTGATATCGGCCTTATTTTTAAGACAAAAATGCAACATTCTCCAATCAAAATATTTTCTATCTAGAGTCTTTTCTCGATCCATAATATCATTATCTAATACAATTATTGATAGGGTACCCATCAATATATCAAAAAATTTCCATTTATCCGTGTTGTACTTGTACGAACTTTCTTGATTATTTTTCACTTGTACTTGTACTACTATATATAGTAGTAATCAATGTATATGCAATATCTGTGTCTTGAAATGGTTGACCATTATTTTCCAGAAAATGCTGTGCTTGGATCCCACCAAAAGAGTCACTGCCAGGAGTGCTCTCGAGCATGAATACTTCAAAGATGTTGGGTTTGTTCCCTGATTCCTCTACCAATCCTCCTCCTTAGGAGAGTGTCTATATAGCTCCTCTATTGTGTAGCATTTTATGGGTCTTAATTGCGTGATTAAAGAGGCAAAAAAATATATAAATATATATATATATATATATAATGAGTGTGCTGTCTGCTTATTAGTGGTTTTTATCATTTTTCTTTCCCTTCTGATTCTTGAAACTTAGATCAGGTTTTGTTAATGTGGCTTTCAACAGAACATCGGCTTTCCAGCTATACTTATCCCTTCCATGTCTTGGCACCAATATATATATATATAAATACACGCATGTTTATGTGAGAATTCACGCCTTCCTAGCTTGCTACCCTTTAAATTCTTTTACCCCTGGAATGGATAAGCTTGTGTTTGGAAACCATGTTGCTTTTTTTTCAACCTGTTTCTTTGTTTGATTGAATATTCAGCTTTTGGTCTGCCTGTTATCAATCTGTTTCTGATCCTATGCATGTTTTTCTAGTTTGTCGGCAGGCCGCTATCACATACCGGTTTTTTTTTAATCTCGAGAAATTATTATTTTAGTAGGAGGGATTGAATATTCTAGTAAGCATAGGAAGCATAGAGTTCTTCCGAAATAGGAGCTCGAGCGCAATCAAGAGACTTTATAAACATGGTAATTGCTAAACTAGTAAAATTCTTTTGATTTTTGTTGGAATGAATATTCTAGTAAGCATAGAGAGCGTAGGGCTCCCCCCGAGATAGGAGCTCGAGCAACCAAGAGACTTGCTAAACTAGTAAAATAGTTTTGATTTTTGTTGGAATGAATATTCTAGTAAGCATAGGGAGAGTAGGGCTCTCCTCGAGATAGGAGCTCGAAAGCAATCAAGAGACCTTATAAATATAGAAATTGCTAAATTAGTAAAGTTCTTTTGATTCTTGTCAGCGCCTATTCTATTAAAGCATGGAGAGTGTATGGCTCCCCAAGATAGGAGCTGAGCGCAATTAAGAGACCTTATAAACACAGAAATGATTCTTATCGGATTATTCAGGATCGTATAAAAGTATATTTTACTCATGTTTTTATATCATTTCTCGTGGTTTCCTGTTTTTCAATGTTTTAATAATGCGAAGGAAATTTAATTAATTTTTGTTTAATATTATTATGCTTCTTCACTTTAGAAAAGTGTTTGTCACGTGAAATTGGAGAGGCGTGGGGTAAAAAAGGGGGAGCAATTGGATAAAGCTTGTGGTCAAACATCTACAGGCTTTTTTTGAGTGGTTGGTAAAGCTTCGGCCATGTGGGAGTGTTCGGTACGCAAAACTGGCCCATAATAATTGTATTAATTGATTTCAATAAAATGCAATGCCGCCATTATTTTCATATTTGGTTCAACCATAATTATTGGTCAATTATGCTCAAGCTAAGGTTTCATGAAATTTGATTATTTTTGGACATGCCAAAAAGTGTTCGTTAGGTATTGGTTGAGGATAGTTGTCGACAAAATAATTTCTTTTGAGATAAAAGTGATGTGAAACGTCTCTTTCTATTTTTTCTTTAAATTTGGTTCAATTTAGGTTCGAATCACTAGGTACTAGGTTGTTCAAAAGGAACCCAACTGGCCATCTCGATACTCATAAGATTATAAGACTTTTGTCCTTGCTCTAATTTTCTCGTCTCCACCAGAAACTGTGCTATTATTTGTGGTTGACATTCTAGTTCCTTTGCTATTGGAAGTATGATTCTTGCTCTGCAAACTACGCTCGCTGCCTCACACGGAGGTAAGGGGCATAGTTCGTTGGAACTCTTGAGGGTCGACCGCCCGCCTTATGGAAGGTTTTTTCTTTTGGAGGTAAACCAAAAGTGTACCTCCAAAAGTGAGAAATATGCTTGTGATTTCTCGTTTCATCCAAATACATCTAAAACATCCAAACCAAAAACAAAAGTTCTTGTTTCTCTTTAACCTTAAGAATCCGAACTTATATGAAATTATCATAGACTAAAGAAATGAAACGTGGAATGACAGGTACTTCTATTCTTCCTCTTCTTTTGTTGCATCCGTTCACTAATTTAAATTTGAATAGTCAATAACTTCTCTAGCCTTGTCCGTATATCGCGGTTTTAAAGTATTAATTACTCTTTTTCTTATCTATAGTATTTATATTTACTAATGATAGGCGTAATTTCTTGACTCAGTTATACATATTTAACGTATGAGTCAATTTCTTTTCAAAACGCTTCTAAACTTTGCATTTCCATAATTTTGTATTTAATAAATTTATTAACCTTTAATTTTTTATTTAATAGATCCTTAAAAAATTTAAAATATTTTAATAAATGAATTGATAATATAAATTTGAATTTTGTGCGTAACAAATTTAAAAAAATTAAAAGTTTAAAAACTAAATTTTTTATCAAAAAGTTAATGGATTAAATAGATATAATTCTCAAACTTCATAAACTAAAATTTTATTCATAAATGTTTTATCACATATGATAATTCACTTAGTAAGGAAATACGCTTTGATTTAATAAAATAAAAAAAAATAAATGTAAAAATAATAACAAATATATGTATGTTTTGTGGACACCTTAGTTTATTAATTGACACATAAAAGCTTGGCCACTAGAGAATATTTTAATAATTATTTTATTAATTCAAACTTCTAAAAATAGAATATTTTAATTATAAAATTATAATTTTTTAAGTAGATAATACATTATTTACGTCAAAATAGAGAAAAATAGGGTCAAAAGAGTATTTTCCTTTTCTCGTCCTAATTTCGGGAAATTTTCTTTTTCAAGTAAGAAAAGTTAAAAATAGTAATAAATAAATAAGCTTTGTTAGAAAAAAATTAGGCATTGGAAAAGAAAAATCATGGAGATGTGGACAAGAAGATTACAGGGAAAAGTTCACGCAAGAATACTGCTTGATTTTTGCCTCTGTGTCCACTTGATGGATCTTCGAAAACATGTTTTATACTTCGTTTGGTTCAGATTGTGATAGTGATAGTGATAGTGATTCTATTTTTTGTTCGACTTCGTTCAGGAAAGCTCCCGAAATTTGCTGATCTTTGTGCGATCATTTTCCTCTCTGCACTGAAAAAATTGTTGCAACCTAAAATTCGGTGAGTTGCTACATCTGTATTCCATGATTTTGTTCAAGTAATCTTATTCGTTTTCGTTTTCGTTTTCCACTTTTCATTCTTCTTCATCTCCAATCTGGCGCTGAATGTCTTACTCGTTCGTCGAAATTTGACTTGCATTAGATTAATGTTATGATCTCTGTTTAGAAATTTTTGTGGCGATTGTATCGTGAGCTTTGGAGGTTATTGTGATTGTTTCTTTTATTTCTTTTCCATGTTCATAACACTCCTTATTTTTCTTTTGCTTGCTGCTTGAATCTAATCTCCATTACAGATGGTGCTGTGGTGTATTTCATTTCGTAGATTATAGATTCTGTGTTTCAACTACGGATTGTGAATCGCTTGCTGGATAGTAGTTAACCTGATCGAAGAAGGCAAGAATAGAAGTTAATTTAGGCTTTCTGTTGCAATTTTCGCTTGTAAGTAGGTTTTAAGGTTTCGAATTAATTACAAGCATCGTTCGATGTGTAGCATTTCGACTTTCTTCTTCATATTATACTCAGTTATTTTCCTTCTTAGAGCAGGAAGTTAAGGGAAAACTATGCATACTACGATCAGTTTTTCTAGGATGAAATTGATTCAGTGGTATGGAATTCTATTTATCCTGTATATTAAATGTTATGATGTTTCTATTGAATCATGATTATGCTCTATATCTACAGAACCAATTGTCCAGAATTTGCGTTGGGAAAACTTTAATCTAGATCAGATCCTTTAGGCGCTGTGATTGCTTCAAAGATGGGCACGTCTGAAGCTCTGCAGATCTTTTCAGGGGTCATACCTCGTGCTTTATGTTCAAAGCCCTATTTGAACAATTTGGACTCCACATTTTCTTTTAAATCACAAGTAAAATTTGCGGAAAAAAGAGTCCTGAGATATATGCATTTGTCAAAATGCTCAAGTAGGATATTACAAGAGATAGAAACAGGCTTTAGTGGGAAAACGAAAGGTAATCATCGTCTGTTATACAGATGCAAATGCCAACAAGCAGAAAGTGCTAGTGGTATGATTCCAGAAGGTGGAAATGGAGCATGGTTCAAGGATGGTGCAAAGATACCAAAGTCGATCACCAGCATTCAGAATGGATCAAATGCTTCGGAGTTTCAAGATGTTCAGTTTGCAAATCAGGAAATCAAGAGCTCAGTATCTAATGATACAAATGGAGAAGTTAGAGATTCATTTCAAAAGATTAGTATTGAATCCATTGAGGATGAGGCATGGGACTTGCTTCGTGAATCCATTGTTTATTACTGTGGCAGCCCAGTTGGAACGATTGCAGCAAGGGACCCTACTTGCTCTAATTCACTGAATTATGATCAGGTCTTTATACGTGATTTTATACCTTCTGGTATAGCTTTTTTATTGAAGGGAGAGTACGATATTGTTCGCAATTTTATCCTCCACACGCTTCAGTTGCAGGTAATCTAAGTATGTAATTAAGCATCAATCGGTTAAACTTCCTTTTTTTTTACTTCTCTGATTAATGCTTGCAATTCGTTATTCCATAGAGCTGGGAGAAAACTATGGACTGTCACAGTCCTGGTCAAGGATTAATGCCTGCTAGTTTCAAAGTCCGAATAGTTCCTTTAGATGGTGACGACTCTGCGACAGAAGAGGTTTTGGATCCAGACTTTGGGGAGGCAGCAATTGGCCGTGTTGCACCTGTCGACTCAGGTACATAGACCATCCAATATTTCCTTTAGAAGAAAAAAGTCTATTCATTGTATTTCTATATCCAGTTACGTCACTCACCTTCCTCTCTATCATAGGATTGTGGTGGATAATTTTATTGCGTGCATATGGGAAATGCTCTGGCGATCCCTCAGTCCAGGAGAGAGTTGATGTTCAAACTGGGATCAAAATGATCTTGAGGCTTTGCCTAGCTGATGGTTTTGACATGTTCCCTACTTTATTGGTAACTGACGGTTCTTGTATGATAGATCGGCGTATGGGAATTCATGGCCACCCTCTCGAAATCCAAGTAAGCGATAACCAAGATTTTTAGCAGTCATTTTTAATTTCTTACGATATAGATGCTGTAGCTTTAATATATTCAATGGCTTCCATGTAAATGCCTTGGAAATGTTAGAAGAGAAAAGGCGATCGAGTAACTATGAATAACCTATATAACAACTACATCTTCCTTTCCAATGGGCTTAATAGATCAGCTGAAGAAAAGGAAAGGGAAATCTAGATGTGCTGATGATTAAGTTTTTGAACCAAGCAATGCTATGAGCATGCTTGTGATTCATTTTTTTTCCATTTACATTTTGAAAGTGAAAATACCAAAGAATTAACAGTATATAGTACGATTTTGCAGTTGCATAATGAAATTAATGTTTTTAGTTTATGCACCTTAGATTTCTCTGGTCATAAAATGTTTGTAGCATGGATTGCTTCCTATAAATTACGTAGTAGAAGTGTAAAGATATATTCTTTTTTTCTCCTTTGCAGGCACTTTTTTATTCAGCATTACTTTGTGCACGAGAGATGCTTGCTCCAGAAGATGGGTCAGCTGGTCTTCTCCGTGCGCTTAACAATCGTTTGGTGGCTCTATCGTTTCATATCAGAGAGTATTATTGGGTCGATTTGAGAAAGCTAAATGAAATTTATCGATACACGACTGAAGAGTATTCATACGATGCAGTCAACAAATTCAACATCTACCCTGATCAAATTCCTTCTTGGTTGGTGGAATGGATCCCCAATATAGGAGGTTATCTACTTGGTAATCTTCAACCGGCTCACATGGATTTCCGGTTCTTTTCTCTAGGAAATTTGTGGTCCATAGTAAGTGGTCTTGCTACAATAGAACAGTCTCATGCCATTTTGGATCTCATTGAATCCAAATGGGAGGATCTGGTTGCAGACATGCCATTCAAGATTTGTTACCCTGCCCTTGAAGGTCGGGAATGGCAGATTATCACTGGCAGCGATCCCAAAAACACGTAATTTACTTTGACTTCGTACTTCTGCGATTTATAAATGAAATATACCCGTTTTTTGATGTTGAAGTTGGTCTTGGTATCTGTTGATGATGCAGGCAATGGTCATACCATAATGCAGGCTCGTGGCCAACATTGCTGTGGCAGGTATGTTTCTCTCAAAGTCCTGATGTTACTACTATGTTATTTTGTTTCTGAGAGAACTCATTTACAGATTGAAATACTATTTTGGTCTTTTGAGACGTTCTCCTACTTTTTAATGTCAATCTTAAGATTAGTCCTATGGTTAGTCTGGAATGAATATTTATAAGATATTAAGAATCATTTTCAATGAAGAAAAGACATGTGAATGTGTTTCTAAAATGTATAGAGGGAAGGCTAGTAGGATCTAAATTTGTTGAAAGGTTACGTGAGATTCCACGTTGGTTGGGGAGGAGAACAAAACATTCTTTATAAGGGTGTGAAAACCTCTCCCTAGCAACACGTTTTAAAAAGTTCGAGGAAAGGGAAAGCCCAAAGAGGATAATATCTGCTAGCGGTGGGCTTGTGTTGTTATAAATGATATCAAAGTCAAACACGGGGCGATGTGCTAGCAAGTCAACTGGGCCGAAAAGGGGGTGGATTGGGAGTCTCACATCGGTTGAAGAAGGGAACGAGTGTCAATGAAGACACTGGGCCTCGAAGGGGTGGATTGTGAGATCCCACATCGGTTGTAAAGGAGAATGAAACCTTCTTTATAAGGGTGTGTAAACTTCTACCTAACTTTGAGGGGAAGCCTGAAATGAAGGAAACTTGTACCTAATAGACGTATTTTAAAAACTTTGAGGGGAAGTCCGAAATGAAAAGTCCAAAGAGGACAGCAATAAACTAACCAAATGGACTAATTACAAAAGGTATTGAAAGTATGAGCACAATTACAAAAGGTATTGAAAGTATGAGCACTAAATCATTTACGTAGTTCTCTTTGTTAGCACAAAATTTGCCTTCCCCTATTCTCGAACTCTTCTCGACAAAGAAAGCACAAACTATATCTTGGACTTGAATATGTAAAATACAATACTGAAGTATTTGATTATACGTTTTTCAGCTCACAGTTGCATGCATAAAGATGGATAGACCAGAAATTGCAGCACGAGCCATTGAGATCACCGAGCGACGTTTGGCTAGAGATAAGTGGCCCGAATATTACGACACAAAAAAAGGAAGGTTCATTGGAAAACAAGCACGCCTATATCAAACATGGTCAATTGCAGGATACCTCGTGGGCAAGCTTCTGCTCACCGAGCCAAGTAAGGCAAAAATTTTAATAACCGAAGAGGACTCGGATCTCATCAATGCCTTCTCCTGCATGATCAGTGCCAGCCCGAAACGAAAGCGTGGTCAAAAGAGCTCAAGTCCAAGCTACTTAGTTTAAGTTGTCCGAATTTATGCTGTCGAAATTCAATACTTGTGTAGGTAATTGTAGCGTATTGGTTATCTACCATTTGTTGTGCGAGTAGGTTGTGATTATGTAACTTGCTCACAGATATAGCTATGTATGTCAATTTTGTCCAATCGATGTCTTGTAACTGGTGTGAGTTGAGTTCAAACAAAAATAATGTAAATTTATATCCCAAGTTCACTCCATTAGCTGGTTTTCTCATATTTGGACTTTTTTGGACTTTTTTCCTTTAGTGAGGATACGAAAACAATTTCTCTCCTCTAATGAGACAATGATATTGTCCATAGATCAAATTATTTCGTGGATTGGATTTTACTTGACTGTCTACGGCTTCATTGTGTGTGCTCGGGGTAGAAGTTTTGTATGTATCACCATTTTTCTGTGTTCTTTCTGAGTTCCTTAGAAAGAGTTGTTTCATGGGTCAACAGGTTAGGCGTTAATATGAAACGATTTAAGTATAATGCAACCAGTTTAAATGGAGTAAGGCCGATGCATTTTCCCAGATAGTGAATCCCCATTTAGACTGGAAAAGGGAGTGGGGCCAAAAAATTTCTCCCATGCCTGAATAGGGAGAGGAGCCTTGTCCCCGATCTTGTTACATCTTGGCCTAAGTTTTTTTTTTCCCTTTCTTTCTAACATACATAATAAATCACTAATTTAAACTTTCAAAAAATATTGTTTTTTTTTTTTAAATCACTTTAAACAGAAATATATAATTGAGAAAACCATAAATGCTTGAATTTATTCAAGCCTGCTTCAAGTAACGAATCAAATGAATGTATCTCAGTAACTGTTTTCTAATTATTTGGCAAGATCTTTTACGTGGGTAAGTTCATAACCAATAAAAATTCACTTAATTTGTAATTACAATTATCTAAACCCAATATAGACATGGGATCACATTCAATTTTATCATTACATCCCAAAGAAAAGAAAAGGATTCCACGCAGCAACAAGATATTTAGGCATTCAACACAAAATTTTCATACTAATAAATTTAAAATTTAACTTTATTAATCAAAATATGTTGGCAGAAAATTTACCAGCCATACCCCTAGGGAGGGATCGGTCTTCACTGAGAAGAAATCAAAATGGCCTCGGAGATTCAAATTAATGACATAGCGGCAATTCCTCTTTTCATATAACACGAGATGTTTAAAATAACGACGAAATTCATCAACTGAAACGAAATATAACATTTGGCTCATCATAACACCACGATAATGTTAAAAGAAACTACACGTGAATAACAAAAAATCCAACCTAAAATCTTGAAAATTCTCTGAACAAAAACATTCGACATTGTAATTATACTTAATCGAAGAGACTGAAGCCCATGTCCTGCAAAACATCGATCAAACAAGAAATTAGAACAGATTTACCGAATAAAACTGAGTTTATGATCAAGAATCTTATGGCAATTCCAAGCAACATTTTCGTAGAGTTTAACGAAGCTTACATCATCTGATTCTTCCTTCTCTTCAACCTTCTCCTCTTTCTTTGACTCTTCTGCAGCTGGGGCGGCACCACCACCACCCCCACCGCCTCCAGCGGCAACTGCCATGGCAGCACCTCCACCAGAAGGAACAGATGCTAGTTTTTCTCTTCCGGAAGCAATGAGCTCTGTAACATCCTTGCCCTTAACGCTAGACAACAGAAGCTCGATTTTTTCATCATCAACTTCAGCTCCAACTGCAAATTGGTTTCAGAAAAAAAATATATATGACATCAATCAAAATACTTGACTTTCACGTAATTCAAACAAAAGGCGACGAAAATGAGTATTACAAATAACAACACTAAGGATATCATGCTACAACCAAAAAACAGTCTTAATGTATAATTATTAAAAAACAATCGTGCTGCCGCTTCAGTCTCTTGAACCGTCGATTGCAAATTTCATACATGAAAAACTTATTCATATCCAGCCACAAATTACAAACACATTATTCTTATTGTTTCTCAAACAGAAATTAATTATCAAAAACTGCGTTAACGAACTTAAGTAACCTCATAAACTAAAATGCTAACCAAGCCAAAATAACAGAATCAATATAGGTAGAAGAAAAATCATAGCGAGACAGAATCAAATTCCGTAAATCATTTCACAGAATGAGAGAAATAATCAGCAATCGGTACCGCAAACCATCCAAAAACCGAAGCTCCAAAGCTTGAAATCGTGCAGAGTCACAACAGATCGAATCAAATCGCAAGTAAATAACAAAAAGATTCTATGAAACGAACAAAACATATTAACCAAACAAACACGTAAATTTTTCATTCAAAAATTCAAAAAAAACACGTAAAACTAAACATCAACACAAAAATTCCAGGATAATCCACAAAAAGGATTACATTTAGGAAATATAAGGATAAAAATGAGAACGAGATGCAGATGTTTACCAGATCCAAGAATATTTTTCAAATCTTTAGCAGAAGGGCTGGAGTTGCCTCCCAAGACGGCGAGCAAATATGCAGCTACGATCTTCATCCTTCGCAGACAGCAAATCGCAAAAGAACGAGAGAGAGATAGAGAGAGTTTAGTTAGGGTTCAGTAGATGTTGCTGACTGCTTCTTATTACCTTATATAGTGGCGAAAGATAGGGTTTCTGATTTGTTTTTTTCCTTTTGCGAAGTTGAGAGGCACCTGGTTGAGCGAAGAATACTCTTAACCATCAAAATTTTGGGCCGATTGTATTGGGCCTGGGCCCATTTTTATGGCCCATAAAGCCCAACCCGTTTTGCTTCTCCCCCGTCTTTTTTTTTTTTTTTTTTTT